ATAAAATGCATAGCATATTAAAGCGTCTTTGGTGTTTCCATGCTTTCTACAAAACAAAACTGGAACTTGAGGGTGTATGACGTCACTGGCAGGCGACACAATGACACTATAGACACGGTCCGTGTCACTAGTTAAAATTGCTTATTTCTCTGGATTTAAACATTCTTCGAAACATTTGGGATAATGGAAGTACACAAGTCAGCAAAATATATAACACTGTTCTAGTGGTTTTTGGATATTTTAATTAAAAAATCGTACATATTTTGCCTTTAAAACTTTGCTTGTAAATATCTGATTAGCATTGAACATCAAGTGGCAGGCCAAAATTGTACCTTACAACACTGTTGGACATCACAAATCACATTTTACAAGTAAAATTGCATGCTTATCTATAAAACTACAAGTATTTTTTTTAATAATTGCTTGCATACTTGAAAATTTTCTTGTAAACATCCAAACGCAAGATCACAGTCCTGAAGCAAAACCAGTAGAGAACCACTGAGCTAGAAGATGAGAAGACAAAGATGCTAACAGCCCAACAGGCTGTCATTCATTCATTCATTCATCACATCATCCATCCAAGTTACCTATTCCACCTGAACCAAAGCAAGCTTTACAGAAACATCCAACCCTACTGCAATAAAATCCATTCAACTGAACACACGGTTGAACGACACATCAATTTTCTCATGAAAAAGGGCTTTGTGCATCATCAGAAGAACACCACACATCCAGATCTGCCATTACAGTCTGTTGAAGAATGCGCACTTACACACACGCTCACACACCAGGGGGACAGAACAGGAGATGATGTCACCGACTCAACCAGGGGAGATGCGTAGTGCCCAGAAAACAATTAGAACAAACCTTATGGTGATACATTTCACCAATATAAGGTCCTCTGTGGATCCAACTGTATGCAAGCAGATTATTCGCATGCAAAGGATGAGAGCGGAGGTGTAAATATGTGGCAGAGAAAAGAAAGCAAATTGGGGAGCAGCTGAGATGTACAGATGAGACATAAACCTTAAATAAACACAAAAGCTCAAATATATCTCACATGACAGCTGAAGGATCTCGAAAAGAGGCCATTGAGAGGGTTGCCAGGTATCAGAACAGAACGAAACACACTATAAATGCAATCCATGTTGCCCAGCTGCACAAATCACAGACACTGCATGCATTTTGGCCATCATATGGATGGATTATCTTGACATGCAGCAGAAATTAAACCCTGGACGTTACATAAAGGCATTTACATGGCATCCGAAGCAAACCTGTCCCTAAAATCAGGGTGCAAGGTGAATGCACGCTTTATGCCTCTGCCTGTGCATCATTTCAGGGATCTGGAAGCTTGCATTGGCTGGTTTGGTTGCTATGCAATGTTTATAAAAAAGGAAGACAGGGCATGCATGCATGAATGGTGACACAAATACAGAAATACAACCATAATGCATGCTTACCTTCATATACAGGTCTAGGAGAGTCCAGTGAATTGAAGATGATCTTGAATTATGATGAAAGGAGAATAGGAGGGGGGGAGAGGACAAAACGGCAGCTCATCTGCAGGAAAATAACCACATTGCTGTAGATGTTCACATTACATTCAATTCAAGGGGCCTCTGGCACAGTAATAAATAATAATTCCGAAACGGGAACGCGATCCTGGCTTCTTCTTGGGTGCGTGCATTAAATAAAAGCCTCAGACGCAATTGCAATCTTCTCTGTGGCTGCTGGCCGGGTTTAGCTCTATAATCCCGCATATGTCTCTGTATTGCTGCTACTGGCTGATGCGGCTGCAACGTGCAGCGTTAACATGGCGCAACCGCTCACGCCCCGCCTACATTCTCATAGGTCTGCCGTGGGGGCGTGGCCGAAACGCGGGGGCGGGGCCTCGAATGCACAGACACATAGGTTCAGTTGTCACCCAGAGATAGATAGATAGATATTATTTTACACTATTTTATATTGCATATTTAAAATTTTTACATTATTAGATTGACAGACAGACAGACAGATAGATAGATAGATTATTTCACACTATTTTATATTGCATATTTACATTTTTTACATTGTTAGACAAACAGACATGATAGATAGATAGATAGATAGATAGATAGATAGATAGATAGCTATAGATCATTTCAAATTATTTTATATCCAATTCAATTCAAATTTATTTATATAGCGCTTTTCGCGATACAAATCGTTGCAAAGCAGCTTTACAGAAAATTAAGTTTCTACAATATATTTAGTAGTAGCTTAATTGTCAGTGGTGACTATGTCAAATTGATGTACATATGGCAGAAATGTAGGCCTACGGTAAAAGTCAGTTAATTATGTAATCAAACAGACGATGAACACTATTAACAGCAAATGAGTATATGTTGTAGGGCTGTCAAAAAAAAATAGAATTTCGAATATAATTATTATATGATGCAATCAAACTTATAGCAAAATGTGGTAGTTCTGTATGTTGTTTCAGGGTTGGCATCATCTGAGGTCCTCTGAGGGGTTTCATCCATCGCTTCTCAAGTGTTCGGTCATCTCAGGTCTTTGTAAGGGCTGGATCCAGACTGAAGCTTGTGTAAATCCTAGTTACGTGGCAGAAACAGAGAAACAAATAGAGACATAATTAGCATAGCCGCTGTTCCAACCAAGCAAAAATGATTTGTTCAACCCAAACTAAGGAATAATAATGTGCATTTGATCAGATATAACTTCAGTATAAGATTATGAGATGCATTATTTGAATACTTGGCCAAAGAAATCTTTAAAGGGTTACTCCACCCCAAAATGAAAATTTTGTCATTAATCACTTACCCCCATGTCGTTCCAAATCCGTAAAAGCTTCGTTCGTCTTCGGAACAAAATGTAAGATATTTTGGATGAAAACCGGGAGGCTTGTGACTGTCCCATTGACTGCCAAGTAAATAACACTGTCAAGGCCCAGAAAAGTATGAAAGACATAGCAATGAGATACAGCCTCTGACTGACGCAAGAAGCAAGTCATTTGTAATTTTAACAAGTGCAGTTTCTGTGCTATGGTGGGGCCTGAAACCTGACTGAAATTCTTCATTGAGATAATTTTTTTGCAAGAAGTAGCACTACAATTTTAGACATAAATGGAAGATTTGAAATGGGTCTGTAATTTGCCAGTTCACTAGGATCTAGATGTGGTTTCTTAATAAGAGGCTTAATAACCGCCAGCTTGAATGGTTTTGGGACGTGACCTAAAGATAACGATGTGTTAATAATATTGAGAAGCGGTTCTTCTGCTACAGGTAAAACCTCTTGCAGTAATTTAGTGGGTACAGGATCTAATAGGCATGTTGTTTAAATGCAGTGATAAGTTTATTTAGCTCATCCTGTCATATAATTGTAAACTGCACTGCAGTTTATCTTTTGGTGCGATGAATGATGAAGTATTATACGCTGTAGAATCTACATTTGTTATTTGAAATATAAATGTCACTGCCATTTGATGCTGGATGTGGTGAATAAGCTGCCAGTGTTCAAAATATTGAATATGAAGTCATTGAAAACGATAGTAATTCTTTTAGGAAATCTGTATACGGCCCTGGTGGTTGTCACGGTGTTGCCTACTGTGTCTGAGCGAGGAGCGAAGGAGAATTCAACAGTCTTTATTTACCACATGGAACACACACGTAGGAACGAGGATTGATGATCGAGACAGCACAGTAAACTCAAAACAGGAAACACTATAAATACACAGGACTTGATGAGAAACACCTGGAATCAATAAACATAATTGCACATGAGGGAAAATGGGTCATGGAAAGCACGTGGGGAGCAAAACACAAAACACGGAACAGAGTCTGACATTCACAAGCAAATGCACAGTTAGTTTCTCAAGGGAAGGCAATACCTTTGCAGGAACAAATGCAAATTTTTCTAGTGGAAATGCAACCGGTTCGCAAGCAAATGCAAAGTTAGTTTCTTACTTTTGCAAGAGTGAACAAAGTTTCTTAACAGAGCACAATACTTTTTTGAGAGCGACCACAAAGTTTCTTACCCGAAAGCAAAGTTTCATATTGGAACACAATACTTTAGTGAAAAGACGCAAATGTTTTTAGCAAGCAAAAGCAAAGTTTCTTGGGGGGAATGCAATACTTTTTAGAGAGAACGAACACAAAGTGTTTTAGCAGAATGCAATACTGAAAAAATGCAAATGTTTTGTGAGCAAACGCAAAGAAACATGTTGTTGGTTTAGATGCAGTGATAAGTTTATTTAGCTCTTCCTTTCCTATAGTTGTAAAGCACTGTAGTTTATCTTTTGGTGCGATGAATGAAGCTGAAGTACTAGACGCTGTAGAATCTAAATTTGTTATTGTATTTCTGATGTTATCTATTTTATCAGTGAAAAAAATCATTAAGTCATTACTATTAAACTGTGAGGGAATATTTAGATCGGGTGGCGTCTGGTTAGTTGTTAATCTAGCCACTGTGCTAAATAAAAACCTTGTTTTGGTTATTTTCTATGAGTTTGCAAATATGCTCGGCCCTGGCAGCTTTTAGAGCATGTCTATAGCTGGACATACTGTTTTTCCACGCAATTCTAAAAACTTCCAAGTTAGTTCTTCTCCATTTGCGCTCAAGATTACGAGTTTCTTTCTTGAGAGAATGGGTATTACTGTTTATTAGGTCAGTAAACGCAAGTCCTAGTGCATAATTTGTATTATCAACGTGAATGTTAAAATCTCTGACAATTAGCGCTTTATCAACATCTACCAATAGGTCTGAGAGGAAATCTGCAAATTCTTTTAGGAAATCTGTATACGGCCCTGGTGGTTGTCACGGTGTTGCCTACTGTGTCTGAGCGAGGAGCGAAGGAGAATTCAACAGTCTTTATTTACCACATGGAACACACACGTAGGAACGAGGATTGATGATCGAGACAGCACAGTAAACTCAAAACAGGAAACACTATAAATACACAGGACTTGACGAGAAACACCTGGGATCAATAAACATAATTGCACATGAGGGAAAATGGGTCATGGGAAGCACGTGGGGAGCAAAACACAAAACACGGAACAGAGTCTGACATTACTCCCCCCTCCCGGAAGGCGCATCCCATGCCATAACAATTCCACCAGGGAGGGGGGGTGGGCGCTCTGGAGGCCTCTCAGGACAGGCATACAGGGACGGACGGCCTCCAGGGCAGTACCCGTTACGGGACCCATGGCGGATCAGGCAGACTAGGGAGCCATGGCGAATCAGGCAGCTTGGGGAGCCATGGCAGAGCAGGCAGACTAGGAAGCCATGGCGGGGCAGGCAGATTAGGAAGCCATGGCGGAGCAGGCAGACTAGGAGGCCATGGCGGAGCAGGCAGACTAGGAAGCCATGGCGGAGCAGGCAGTTCAGGAGGCCATGGTGGAGCAGACAGTTCAGGAGGCCACGGCGGAGCAGGAAACTCAGGAGGCCATGCAGACAGTTCAGAACGCCATGGCGGAGCAGGGAACTCAGGAGGCCATGGCTGGATGGCTTCCATGGTCTTGGCCTCGCCACTCGGCCCAGCCACTACGAACGGACCCATACTACTGGGCTAAAGTCGGGGACTGGAGCCTTCTTTGGGCTAAACTCGGGGACTGGAGCCCTCACTGGCTAAACTCGGGGACTGGAGCCTTCTCTGGGCTAAACTCGGGGGCTGGAGCCGACGCTGGAGCGAGCTCTGGGGCTGGAGCCGACGCTGGAGCGAGCTCTGGGGCTGGAGCCGACACTGGAGCGAGCT